TGGCGTGGTCAGTTGTGCTGCAGCCCAGGTACCCCAAGAGCTGCCACAGCGCTGGAGCAGGAGGCCAGGGCTAGAGAGCTCTGGCTGCTCTGCACTTGGCACAGCCTGGAGCAGAACAGGAGATAAAGGTGGGTCCTGTGTCAGAAGGGCTTGGTCCTGGGAGCTCAGATCCCACTTGTGACTGGGGGAGTGCTCCTCTGCTCCTTGCTGCCACTGAACAAGAGCCACCTCTGAAAGCCTCTCCCCCAGGGCCCTCGCAGGGTTAAAAGCCTCTCCTCCCTCACAAGCCTCCAGGACACACAAGCTTCTCCTCATGCAGGTAAGACAAACTGGACAGCACCTGGGGACATGGCTGGTTTTTCCCTCTTACCAAGCACTGTCCATTGTTTGCTCCTGGACACGGAGGTAAGGGAAGGCTGGGAGGGCAGGACAGCTGCCTGTGGTGGGTCAGGGACTCACTCGTGGTGAGACCCTCACAGGGATCCCTGTTGGCACCCTACCTGGGGGCAAACCCAGTCCTGGCACCCAGTGCTCCTGGGTGATCTGGGCATGCAGCAGGCTGCGACTGCTGGTGATGCCTCAAACAAAACAACCCAGAGCTTTGCAGGAGAAATGAACCCTGTGTTATTGTGGGCTCCCTCAGCCCAACCATCACCTCAAACGGGGACTGGACTGTCCCCAAAGCTCAGGACCTTACCTCCCATGGCTGCATGTGCCAGGCTATCTGCTCTGCTCACCTGAGTGCAAACTGGACGTGGTGGCTTGGCGAGGAAAGCCACATCCTCCTGCAGGAGCAGCTGGCTTCTCCGCTGGGCACGGGGCACATTTGGCCTCCTGTAGGAAGAAGGGTGACGTATTGCATCCCAAAATGTTGGAACAATGCAGAAGAGCACAGTGGTGACACGAGGCACCCCGCTTCAGGGGCTGTGCTGGAGCTGAGCTGGGTCTCAGACTAGTGCATCACCACCCCATGGGTCAGGGCCACCTTCCTTCTCTGGGGAATGACAGACACCAGCTGCCTCCCCAGCACTGATGGCACCAGCGCTCCCTCTCTGCCCCCCTGTCCGGCCTTTCTGGACTGGTCAGTGGTGGGCAGAGGTGCAGCTGCACTGGGAAATTCTTGGTAAGTCTTTAGTCACCTTGAGAAATCGCCCTCAGTGCAAGTGAGAGAGAGAGGAAAGCACCTGAAGCAAGATGGAGACTCTTCCAAGGCTGCGCAGTCTGAGGGAGAGAGGGAGGTTTTCCTACCATGTCTTGGTATTTCATTGTGTACAGGATGTCTGAGGACAAAGGGTTTGATCTGGCATTTCATGTGGCAGTGTCCACTGGCTGGTACATTGCTCCAGGCCATGGTGAACATTCGAGTCATCCCTCAACTCCTGCGGCTGCTCTGCAGCCCTGTAGCTCTGTGCCTAATCCAGCCTGAATTTGCCAACATGAGGAGAGCATCATCTGCAGCTCTCCAGAACCTCCTGTCCCTCCTGCAGTGGAACTGACAATTCCCTGCTGCTGCTGCCAATCCGATGACTCCCCTGTCTCTGCTGTGCCCCTGCATTAACCCAAGGACTGGCTGGCAGCGTGCGATGGACTCACACCCCTCTTACTCACCTGCTGTTGTTTCCAGGTGTGAGCCCCAGTCTGGAGCATGAGCAGGTCACTCACCCTTACATGTCTAACCTCCTACTATCACATTTATTCTCATTTCTATCTCTTTGGTCCCCTCTCCTCCTATGCAACTGGCAGTCTCCCACCTTCACTGGTGCCAGCTTCACCCATAATTTGTCAGCAGACTCCTGCCTCTGGCTGACAGGTCAGCAGTAAAAGCTGGCATGGCCATCAGGTCAAGGGAGGTTCTCCTCCCCCTCTACTCTGCCCTGGTCAGGCCACATCTGGAGTGTTGTGTCCAGTTCTGAGCTCCCCAGTTCCAGAGAGACAGGGAACTTCTGGAGAGAGTCCAGTGGAGGCCACAAAGATGATGAAGGGGCTGGAGCATCTTTCTGATGAGGAGAGACTGAGAGAGCTGGGGCTGTTGAGGCTGGAGAAGAGCAGAGTGAGAGGGGACCTGATCATTGTTTATCAATATCTAAAGGGTGGGTGTCAAGAGGATGGGGCCAGACTCTGCTCAGTGGTGGCCAGTGACAGGACAAGGGTCAATGGGCACAAACTGGGACACAGGAGGTTCCAGTGAAACATGAGGAGAAACTTGTTTGCTGTGAGGGTGTTGGAGCCCTGGGACAGGCTGGCCAGAGAGGGGGTGGAGTCTCCAAACCCTCCTGGACACCATCATGTGCAACCTGCTGGAGATGGACCTGCTTTGGCAGGGGGGTTGGACTGGATGATCTCCAGAGGTCCCTTCCAAACCCACCACTCTGGGATTCAGTGATTCACTGGTGCCAGCTTCACCATCATTTGTCAGCAGACTCCTGCCTCTGGCTGGCAGGTCATCAGGAAAAGCATCCACCAAGGTCCTGGACAGAACCTTCCCCTCCCACGCCTTCACCATGGAGGCACTTGTGCCCTAAACAAAACTGTCACCTGCCTCAGTGCTGTGACAAGGTCACACATAACGTAGTTTTGAACCTCTACAGCTCAACGTGCACAAAATGCAGCTGTGCAGGAAGGGACAGCCGGGGACAGGGACGGTTCCTGGGGACAGGGACAGCTGGGGACAGGGACAGCCGGGGACAGGGATGGCTCCTGGGGACCCTGCTGTGGGCTCTCCCACCTCTCACCCCTCTCAGGCCCCCGCTCCTGGCCGCACTGCGGGGCCGGACAAGTCGGGCTCTTCTTGTGTCAGAACACACCCGGCGTTGGCTGGGGGCTGGCTGGAGGGGAAGAGACAGTTCAGAACATTGGATTACACAGTCCCTGTCACCTGTCCAGTGTGTGCAAAATTAGGAATTAAAAAAGAAAATCCCTATTAAAGAAGATGCTGATCTGGGAGACTGCTGGAGAGCTCAGCCAGGCTGGGGTTTCTCAGCCTGGTAGCACCCACATCCGAAATGGAGTAGCCAGGTTGGATGTCACTAGACCAGGCAGAGAAGAATTAGTCTTCTGACTGAAAGTTTTCCTCTCAATTAAAATCTTTTAAGAAGTTGAAAAACTGGAGAGTAAAAGAGAAATGAATGGGAAATTGGCTCTTGTAGGCAGCAAACTGATACTGATCACAGGGCACAAATAGCGGCCAGGAGGAAATACTGTCAGAACAGCGGGAGGGTCCTTAATCTGGAAGAGAAAGACCTGGAAATTATGAATGAGACAGAGCTGACATCCAAATAATTCCAACAGGAAACAAAAACACACAGTTTTTAATGCTGCTCCGACAGTTTCTTGTGGTAAGTAGCTATAAGGAAAAAACTCCCAACAGAAGCAGTGAATTCTCCGTTGCTCAGTGGTTTAAAATCGTGACTGATAAGTAGATACATGCTTGACAGAGAAATTAAAAACAAATTAATGGGTGTCAAGCAACGGTACCAGCCTGAAATTCAGCCACGTTGTTTGATCTCCTGAAGAAATATGACAATTGACCTCAGATATGTGAAAGAGGAAGGGACACTTTGGTCCTATGTAATGGCATTGGCCCCTGCAGAGCCATCAGGTGACATCTTTAATGTTGAGTAGATGGAGAGTGACATGAACTGATAACTTGTCCAGGAACGCTACTGACTCCTGATCCATAGTGGGGCAGGCAGGACTTGTTCTGGAGCGTGCAATGGCCAAGTCAGAACAGCAGGGAGCTAAACCCTGGAGTTCAGCGACGTGCAATCCTCCCTCACACCCCGGCCATATCCCAGTGGTCAGCGGGCACCTGCCCACGCGAGTCCCACCACAGCTCCTGGCAAACTCGTGCTCAGCAATGGCCAGTACACTGGCCAGTTGCCTTATTCTCTGATTCAGGAAAAATGGAGAGTGCTAACATCTGCTGAGGCAAAGGGACCGAGCCAAACAAAAAGCTGCCCAGGGAGAACAGGATTTTATGATACACAGCCCCAAGATCACCCATGGTCCCCTCAGGTCCCTGTATTGTCATGCAGCCGCATCCTGCCCTGGTGCTTTCCAGCCCTGTTTGCCCCCTTATCATCATACACGGGATCTTAAGCCTTTCTGGATCCTGTTCCTCACCCAGCCGAGAGCAGTCCCTGGTTTCAGACTGGCTGAGTTCAGCGTGTACCCATGACAAGTGGTGGCTGTGACAGATCATAGAATCATGGAATGGTTTGGGTTGGAAGGGACCTTAAAGCTCATCCAGTCCCAACCCCCCTGCCAGCAGCAGGGACACCTTCCACTAGACCAGGTTGCTCAAAGCCTCATCCAGCCTGGCCGAGAACACTTCCAGGGAGGAGCAGCCACAGCTTCCTTGGCCAACCTGGGACACTGTCTGACCATGTCGAGCCCATGGTTCGACAAACACCGTGTGATGAGTCACCCTCAATTGAAACCCACATGTCCTGGTTGTCACAGAACAAAGCACCCCAAAAATGGAAGAACAGGAGACAGGATAATGAAAAAAAACCCCACAATTATTTTAACTGATGCAGAGTGATGCTGCATCTCCAACCTGGCAGCTAGGGAAGAGCAAGCTTGGTGTCTGTGGCACCTAAGGAATGAAGGAAGGAATCTAGGGAAGCATGTAGTCACCATAAGTGCAACCAGGAAGGAAAGAGACATGCTTGGTCTACTCATGAAGACAGGGGGCTGGGCTGGCAGGAAAAACCAGGAGGTTGGGGTAGTGTAGATGCACGCTGTCCTTGGTTCCATCTGAGTGATTCTCTTGTAGTCAGGTACCCAACATTGAAGGGCAGCTTTCTGGATGCTAAATATCCTAGTGTCTGTGAAATCCCAACATGGGAAGCTTCCAACCACTATGGAGATAGGATCAAAGCCACCCTACCAGTGAAACCCTCACCTTCTAGGTGGTTGTGCTCCAGTCCCCTGGCTTACAGTCACCACCTCCTCCTCTCAGCACTCATTTCTGCTCACAGCCCAGCCCAGCTGGCCACATGGCAGGCGAGAACCAGACTCAAGTGACGGAGTTCGTGCTCCTGGGCTTTTCCCACGGCCAGTCCTTCCTCTTTGTTCTTTTCCTGGCCATATACCTGGCCACGCTGCTGGGGAACTCAGCGATACTCACCCTCGTGTCCCTGGATCCCCATCTCCACAGCCCCATGTACTTCTTCCTCAGTCACCTCTCCTGCTTGGACATTTGCTACTCATCAGTGACGGTGCCCAAGATCCTGGCAAATGCCCTGCGCCCGCAGGCGACCATCTCCTACGGCGGGTGCCTGGCACAGATGTTCTTCCTGATGGGGTGCGCGGGGGCCGAGTGTGCCCTCCTGGCTGTCATGGCCTACGACCGCTACGCAGCCATATGCCAGCCCCTGCGCTACAGGCGGGGGGGCGCCGGCCACCGTCTGCTGGCTCTGGGGGATGCTGGACTCGGCTGTGCACACCCTCCTGGCCTCCAGACTCTCCTTCTGTGGGGCTGCCCGGCTCCAGCACATCTTCTGCGACGTCCCGCCGCTGCTGAGGGCCGCCTGCAGCAACACCCGTCCCAAAACACCCGTCCCAGCGAACTGGCGCTCCACGCTGCCAGCGTCTTTGTGGGACTCAGCCCCTTCCTGCTTGTCGTCGTCTCCTACCTCGGCATCCTGGCCACCATCCTC